GGGGGGGGGGGGAGGGCAGGGGACGGGGGCCAGGGTGGTAAGGGAGTCGCGAGGCTGAGAGTTGGGTATTGGAATATAGGGACTTTGAAGGGGAAGTCCATAGAGCTAGAAAATATTCTTCAGAAGAGGAGGATTAGTATAGCTTGCGTATAGGAGACTAGATGGGTGGTGTCTAAGGTACGAGATGTAGAGGGGTATAAATTATGATACTCAGGAAGCGGGAGTGGCAATAAAGGCATGGGTATTTTGGCAGATAGGGAACTTAGGGAGCTAGTGGTAGAGGTTAGGAGGGTGAATGACAGGAAGATGGCTATTAAGTTAGTTGTTTGAGGTCTGATACTACACATAATTAGTGCCTTTCGCATCTCAAGTGGGATTGAACGAGGAGGTGAAATGGAGCTTCTGGGATGATATGGACTAGGTTGTGAGTAGCATTCCTCTTATTGAGAAGCGTTTTATAGGAAGGAGCTTCAATGGTCACATTGGGATGACTTTTAGGGATTAATGACGATGTGAATAGAGCCTTTTTGGGATAGAAATGGAGGTGGTACTTCGCTATTGGATTTCACTAAAGCTTTTGATTTGGTGATAGCTAACTCTTGTGTTTCGAAGAAGGAGGAGAACTTGGTTACCTTTCGGAGTCCGGTGGCCAAGACCCAAATTGATTACCTAATTTCAGAAAGTGTGATAGAGATATTTGCATAGATTATAAGGTTATCCCGAGTGAGAATCTCTCGACCCAACATAGGGTCTTGGTGATGGACTTAAAGATCATGAGAAAGAGGTAGAAGAGGGTTGTGTACAATCAACCTAAGATCAAGTAGGGAGCCTTAACTAAGGACAAATCTAGGGAGTTGATGGAGAAAACGGTGGCTATGGGGGAACAGAAGAGTAGTGGGGACGCGATATGTAACATGATAGCCAACTACATTAGCGATGTTGCTAGAGAGGTGCTAGGGGTCTTGAAGGGTTATTCTGGTGGGCACAAGGGGAACTGGTGGTGGAATATGAGGTTCAAGGAAAATAAAAAGCTAAGAAAGTGGCGTATATAAAGCTAGTGGAGAGCAAGGACGAGGAGGAGAAGAGGATGAATATGGAGAGGTACGAGAAGGCCAAGAAGGAGGCGAACTTAGCACTTATAGTGGCTAAGACTGCGATATTTGGGCGTTTGTATGAAGAGCCTAAGGACAAAGGTGGGGACAAAAAGCTGTACAGGTTAGTTAAGACGACAGAAAGGAAGGCACGTGACCTAGACAAAGAGAAGTGCGTCAAAGATGAGGAAGGCAGAGTATTGGTAGAAGAGGCGTATATTAGACATAGATGGTAGACATACTTCCATAAACTCCTAAATAAAGAGGGGACAAAGTCATTGAGTAGGGTGATTTGGAGCACTCCGAGAGCCATTAAGATTTTAGTTATTATAGGTGTATAAGAATGGATGTGGTAGAGGGGGTGATGCATAGATGAGTAGGTGAAGAGCGACTGGGCCAGACGAGATCCTGATTGAATTTTGGAAGAGTTCGGGCAGGGTAGGCTTGGAATGGCTTACTTGGTTGTTTAACATAATTTTTAGGATGAAGAAGATGCCTAAAGTATGGAGGTGGAGTACGATGATTCCGTTGAACAAGAAGAAGGGTGATATAAAAAATTGCAACAACTATAGGGGTATCAAGCTGATGAGCCATACTATGAAAGTATGGGAGGGTGAAGAGGAGTGTATCTATTTCTTAAAATCATTTCAGATTCATGCAAGGGTGTTCGTCTACGGAAGCCATTCACCTTGTAAGGAGGGTGGTAGAGTAGTATATGAGAGGAAGAGAGACCTGCATACTGTGTTCATTGATCTAGAGAAAGCATATGGCAAAGTCCCAAGGGAGGATCTTTGGAGATGCTTAGATGCTAGAAGTGTTCTTGTTGCTTATACTACGGTGATTAAGGAGATGTATGATAGAAAACCTAGGTGATGATCGTTGGGGGGAGGGAGAATTCGGACCACTTTATAGTTGTGATGGGGTTGAACTAGGTGTCAGTTCTTAGCCCATTTTTATTTTCCCTGGAAATGGACACACTGACGCAACACATTCAAGGGGAGAAGCCTTGGTGCACGTTATTTGCGGATGATACTGTATTGATTGGTCAGACGTGAGGTGGTGTAAACACAAAACTGGAGGTTTGGAGATAGACCCTAGAGTCTAAAGGTTTCAGGTTGAGTAGGAACAAGATAGAATACTTGGAGTGCAACTTCAGTGACAGGACCGATGAAGAAGACGTGAATGTGATGCTTCATACACAAGTCATCCTCGAGAGATATAGTTTCAAGAACCCTGGGTCTATTATACAAGGAAATGGGGAGATTGATGGGGATGTTTCACATCGTATTGGAGCAGGGTGGGTGAAATGGAGACATACATATAGTGTATTATGTGATAAGAACGTGCACCTAAACTTAAAGGTAAGTTCTATAGAGTAGTTGTTTGACTGACTATGTTGGATGGGGCAGAGTATTGGCCAGTCAATAACTCCCATGTACAGAAGATGAAAGTAGCAGAAATGAGGATGTTGAGATGGATGTGTGGGCATACCAGTATGGATAAGATTAGGAATGAAGATATTCATGCCTAGGTAGGAGTGGCTCCGATGGAGGACATGATGCAGGAAGCGAGGCTTAGATGGTTTGGGAATGTGAAAAGGAGGAGCACAGATGCCCCGGTGTGGAGGTGCAAGAGGTTGGCCCCGATGGGTTTGAGGAATGGAAGAGGTAGGCCAAAGAAGTATTAGGGAGAGATGATCAGGAAAGATATGTCATTCGTTCAGCTTACCGAGGACATGACCCATAATAGGAAGGTGTGGAGTTCGAGAATTAAGGTAGAAGGCTAGTAGGTAGTCGAGAGTGTTCCTTTTACATACCAGTAGTATTAGTGTTAGTCTAGCTAGTCGAGAGTGTTCCTTTTACATACCAGTAGTATTAGTATTAGTCTAGCGTGATATTATTGTTAAATTTCTAGTTTTATGTGTTGTACCCTTTTCTTTGTTTTTTTGTTATCTTGTTGTTGTTAATGCTTGTGCTACCACTTTATTTTTATCTTGCCTTGAGTTGAAGGTCGATAAAAAACAACCTCTTTATCTTTCAGGTAAGGTAAGGTCTGCATACACACTACCCTCTCCAGACCCCACTTGTGGGATTATACTGTGTTTGGTGTTGTTGTTGTTGTTATTGTTGTTGTTTCCAGTTATAAACTATGGATTTATATCATTTTTATCAACTATCAATGAAATCCCTTAAATAATGGAAATTAGTGTGGCATACTTCGGTGTTCTCGGTAGACTATTACATATAATTCTTCTTAAAATTATTCATGGACAAGGGTAGATAGTAGACTCCCAGTAGGCTTGCTTGATTGGGTTCCCTCTGTTTAGCGCTGTCACTCTTCCCAGGTTAGGGCATGACAAGCTTGGTATAAGAGCCTAAGGTTTTAAAGTCTCCTAGGATCTCTTAGAGTCGTGCCTAGTAGAGTCCTTCTTATCGGTGTGTAGTCGACCACATCTAAAATTAGGAGGCTACTTGGGCATTTAGGAATGTCGACCTTCTTTAACACTCTAGATCATGCGACAGATCTTGACTATAAGAATATCCTTTTAACTCATGCATTATTCTAATTTTTTAGAACATGGCGCCTAGGAAGAAGGCAAAGAGTAGCCAAAGGGAAAATACTACCCCAAGAGTGGTAGTTAATGCAGTTCCTGATGCTACGAGTGTGCACATGAAGAGTGAAAGTGCTCCCTCAACAAGTGCACCTCCTACTTATAGTACCCCTTTTGAGATTCCGGCTTAGAATGCACAGACACCTCTACCAACTGAAACTCCAGCTTCATTCTCCAGTCCTAGTGCTTCCGACCGAGGCCTTAGGGGAGCCCTTTAGTTGTTGAATCAGATTGTGGCCTCCCAAGCCCAGAGCCTGAATGCTAAATCCACCTCTTCCAGCTATTTAGGGGATTCAACTAGTTCCAGGGTGAAAATATTCCTCTAGTTAGATCCTCCGGTATTCACGGGTACTAAGACCAATGAGGATCCACATGATTTTATTGATGAGATGCACAAGATTCTTTATGTTATGCATGCCATTGATACATAAGTAGTGGAATTGGCCTCTTATCGCTTGAAGGAAGTGGCCTATGCTTGGTACGAGATGTGGGAAGAGTCCCACATGGAAGGTGACCTTCCGGTGAAGTGGAATGAGTTCGTCGATGCTTTTATTGATCTTTTCTTTCCCGCTGAGACTAGAGCTACCCGTGCTGCCAAATTTGTGAATCTGAAGCAAGGGAATATGAGTGTGTGGGATTACTACTTGAAGTTTGCGAAGCTTTCAAGGTATGCGCTCTACATGCTTCCTACTATGGAGGCTAGGGTGCACCAGTTTGTTCAAGACCTTAGTCCTTTGGTTCTCAATGAGGCTACTACACCTCTTAAACAATCATTTGTCCTCAAGCGGGTCTAGAATCATCCTTCGAATGCAAAACTGATGGGGATATTTCTCTACATAACGTGCTCGATCTCCCAAGTTGCCTCCTCAACTGGTCGACCTCTCCACTGAACCTTCACTGATGTAATATCTTTCGACCTCAGGTTTTGAACCTGCCTACCCAAAATGGCCATCGACACTTCTTCATATTTCAAATTCTCATCCAACTACACCAATCTAAAATCCAATACATGTGACTGATCCTCATAATACTTCTGAAGCACGGAGAGATGAAACACCGGATTAACTCCTGACGAGCAAGGTGTCAAAGCAAGTTTTTAAGCCACCTCACCAACCCTCTCTAAATCCTCAAATGGACCGATATACCAAGGAGTCAACTTTCCCTTCCTCCCAAACCTCATCACACCCTTCATAGGTGAAACTCTGAGAAGAAGCTTCTCACCTTCCATGAAAGCCACATCACAAACCTTCCTATCATCATAACTCTGTGGCTTGGACTACACTATACGAAGCCTCTCCTGAATCAATTTCACCTTTTCCAAAGCATCATGAACCAAATCAGTGCCCAACAACCTATCCTTCTCAAGCTCAAGCCAACCAACCAGAAGAACAACATTGCATCCCATATAAGGCCTCATACAAAGCAATCTGGATACTAGACTGGTAGTTGTTATTGTATGAAAACTCCACTAATGGTAGAAACTGATCCCAATGGCCACCAAAATCATTAACACATGCTCTCAACATATCCTCCAAGATCTAAATGGTTCGCTAGGACTGACCATTCGTCCGAGTGTGAAATGTTGTACTCAACTCCACGTGGGTGCCTAACTCGTGTTGTACGGCTCTCCAAAAGTACGATGTAAGCTGATTGCCATGATGTGAGATGATAGACATAGGTACACCATGCAAGTGGACAACCTCCCTAATGTAGATCTTAGCCAACTTCTCCGATGTGTAGGAAGTCATGACCGGAATGAAATGCGCAGACTTGGTCATTCTGTCCACAATGACCCAAACAACATCAAATCTCCTCAAGGTCCGTGGAAACCCTACCACAGTCCATAGTGATGCACTCCCAGTTCCACTCCGGTATCTCTAACCTCTAAAACAAACCACTCGGTATCTGATGCTCATACTTGACCTTCTGAAAATTCAAACACCGTGTGACATGTCCATAATGTCCTTCTTTATCCTCCGCCACCAATAATACTGCCTCAAATCACGATAAAATTTTGTAGCACTTGGATGAATAGAATACCGCGAGCTATAAGCCTTCTCAACAATCTACCCCCTCAAAAAATACACATTAGGAACACAAAGCAGACCTCGAAGCCAAAATATACCATCACCACCAAAAAACCCCTCATTATCACCACCCACAACACCGTGTCCTTGAGGACAGGCAAATGGGGATAATCATACTGACAAGCCTCTGCTAGGCTCAGATATATCCAACCTCATGAATTTGTTGGCCAAAGCCTGAACATACATAGCCAAAGGCCTCTCCACAACTGCTATAAATTCCAAACTCCCTATACTCCTTGCCTTCCTAATCAATGCATTTGCTACTTCATTAGCCTTCCCCGGATGATACAAGATAGTGATATCATAGTCCTTCAACAACTCCAACCACCTCCGCTACCTCAAATTCAAATCCTTTTGCTTGAACAAATGATGGAGATTTTGATGATTAGTGTAAACCTCACAAGACACGCTATACAGATAGTGCCTCCAAATATTGAGCGCATGCACAATAACTGCTAACTCCAAATCATGCACCAGATAGTTCCTCTCATGGGGATTCAACTGGAGCGATGCATAGGTTATCACCCTACCTTCCTGCATCAACACACACCCAATGCCAACCGATGAAGAATCATAATAAACCTTATACAACCCCGATCCTCAAGGCAATACCAAAACTGGAGTCGTAGGCAAAGCAGTCTTAAGCTTCTGGAAGTTCTCCTCACACTCATCCGACCATCTTAACAGAATGATGTTCTGAGAAACATAGTCAATGGGTCTTCAATAGATGAAACTCCCTCTACGAAGCGACGGTAGTAACCAGCCAAACCTAAGAAGCTCCTGATCTTTATAGCGATAGAAGATCTGGGCCAACTTTGAACTACCTCAATAATCTTCCAATCCACCTTGATCCTATCACTAGATACCACATGACCCACGAATGCCACCGAATCCCACCAAAATTTGCACTTGGAGAACTTACCATATAACTTCTTCTCCCTCAAATTTGAAGCACAATCCTCAAATGCTGCTCGTCCTCCTCAAGACTACGAGACACAATAACAAGAATCCAAATAAGGTTGGAACACATTGTTCATCAAATGCATTAAAGCTGTTGTGGCATTAATCAAACAAAAATACATCACCTTAAACTAATAATGCCCGTAACGAGTCGTGAAAGCCGTCTTAGAGATATCTGAAGCCTAATCTTCAACTAATCTTCAACTATTGATACCCCGATCTCAAGTCAATCTTTGAGAACACCTTGGCGCCCTGAAGATGATAAAATAAATCATCAATGTGCGGTAGTGGATACTTATTCTTGATGATAACTTTGCTCAACTTACGATAGTCAATACACATCATCATAGACCCATCCTTCTTCTTATCATACAACACCAGTGCACCGCACGGTGATACACTAGTCCTGATGAATACCTTATCCAACAACTCTTGCAACTGTTCTTTTAATTCCTTAAACTCCTCTGGAGCCATGCGATACAGAAGAATAGACATGGGATGTCCTGATTTGCTTTGCATATTTGAATTTTACCTTTTCTTGAAGGAAGGAAAAATAGTTTGCCATAACTGATTTTTACTTTCCTTTTCTCTTCCATATTTGATAGATCATTTTCTTGGAGAAGGAGCTTTGCACTTCTATAGATTGTGGATCCCTCCTTCACAAACAATAGAATAGCATCCACAATATAGTCCTTAGGAGAGATTTNTTGGGGGGGGGGGGATTGATACTATCAATAAGTTTCTCTTTTTATATTGGTAGATTGATGTAGGTCACTTGATCAAACCATATTAAATCATAATGTCTTTTTGATTTTTGTTTGTCATCTCATTTCTCATCATCGAGGTTTGCATTGTTAACTTCTACATGAGCCTTGTTATTTTCGATCCCAACAATGGTATTAGAGTTAATGGTTCAACGAGGTTGATGAAAGGTTCAAGGCGAGTTCAGATCAAGTTGCGGCGAATTTTACAACAATGAAGATTTCTATCAAAACAAAATATGAAATACTACATGTGGAGATACATTTTCAACCATATGTTGCAAAAATCGTGTTGCTACATATACATAAACAAAAACCATTTTTAACACATGATCATGGGCTCCACTTTCAACCGTTGCTTACGTTTGAAAATCAGGCTCCAATTTTAACTCATGCTTATTTTTAATGCATAGACTCCCACTTTTAACCCTACTCACTTTTATCGTTGGGCTCCACTTTTAACCCTGTTCACTTTTAACACAAGGTTCTAATATTTTTAACTCGTGTTAACTTTTATGCACATGGCTCCAATATTTTTAACTCGTGTTAACTTTAAAAGAACATGGCTCAAATTTTTAACCAATACCTACATTTAACAATGGCAAACAACAGTGATGAAGATTATGTAAAGAAGGAAGATCAAGCTTTGCCAAGAAAATTCAGGCCAAAGAGTGGAATTCTTTGGATTTTGTCCTGATTTTCTTTGCATATTTGAATTTTACCTTTTCTTGAAAGAAGGTAAAATAGTTTACCATAATTAATTTTTACTTATCCTAAAAGGAAAGTATAGATATCTTCCATATTTGGAAGATCCTTTTCTTGGAGGAGAAGTTTTGCACTTCTATAAATTGAGGATCCCTCCTACACAACAATAGAATAGCATCCACATTGTAGTCCTTAGGAGAGTTTTGTATAGGGGGAGAATTTATTCTCTCAATATGTTTTTCTATTTTTGTATTGGTAGATTGATGTAGGTCACTTGACCAAACCATATTAAATCGTAAATCTTTTTGATATTTTTTGTGTCGTCTGATTTATCGTCATCAAGGTTTGCGTTTGTTAGCTTCTACATGACTCCTTGTTGTTTTCGATCCTAATAGGTAGGTCTACTAGAACCCATCTGTCACGCCCCGACCTCGGGGAATGCGACCGGCGCTCAACCGAGATATCCTGGTCAAGAAAGCCTTTATAATACCTTCTACCCAACTCAGCCATGAATAAAGAGAAGAATACATTTCATTAACTAGACAGTAAGAGGTCACATGGAAACACTAGTTCATTTCCATTGGTTACGAGATTAACAAGTCTCCAAAATAGTACATT